GACTTCATGCAGAGTATTATTGGTATTTCTTTTGATATATTTACACCTAAAATTTTTCCTTTAATCCAACCCATAACCCAAGCCCTGTTACAATCCTTATAAAGACCCTTTGATTTTTGCATTGAATTCATTTTAAGTGGTGGAAATATGATATATTAGCAAGCTTATGGTAATGTCATTTCGTAGAGTTGATTTGAGTGCTAAATGTCCTTTAAACATTTGAGTGCAGAGTGTATACACTATTATCCATGTGAGAGCTGTTGAATTTTGTGCATCCTGATTTTGATAAAATTGTTGAGAAAACATGATACTTGTGTTAGTATACATTGTGCTATGCGTGTTTGTCATCTCGATTGTGATTCTTGGGTAGTGAATGCTTGAGGACAAGCATTGTTTAGGTGTAGAGGAATTTGTTAAGTGGCTAATTGTGCATATAATTGGTGAATATTTTTCCCTTTATTTTGTTAAAATATGGCGTTAATTGATATATTTCACTCATATTTGAATTTGGTGTTGTTTTAGGAATTGTTGGTGAGCATGAGGTAAAAGGCGCATTAAAAGTCGACTTTCTAGAAGACGTCTTGTTAAGCGTGCCCACGCTTTGTCAAACGCGAAGTGGTACTTCTAAAGATCTATGTCCAGTAGACTCCAGTCTGTTAAGCGTGCCCACGCCTTATTTGACAAGGCAATCAAGAGTTCGTAGGACATGAGATCAATCTGTCAATTGATCAAGAAGCCGGTTGCATCCCATGGTTTTACACATTTGTCACGGGATTGGAGATCTTGAGGGGCTATGACTCAATGTAATTTATTTTGGAAACCAATTGATAGGTCTTGGTTGGTTAGTTTAGCTTAAGTAGGAGTCCTAGTAGGAAAAGGGGATCCCATCCTTATTAATAGGGGAGAAAACAGACATGGGCTCTATCTCTGATTCTTTTTCCTTTTTCCCTCTTGAAAACAAAAAAATAAGAAAACCATTACTTAGTCTTGGTCGCAAATCCACCATAAGGAGCGGCTAATTTCTTTTCTAGTTGAAGGTTAATTGAAGCTTTGGTTCAGCTATACTGTGAGATCTAATTTGATTTGTTTGCTTCATTTATTTATGAGTATTTATATATTCTCTGTTCATTCATGATTATGATTATTTTCAATAGTTAGATATCTGATCAATATTTAATTGTCGAAATAGTCTATTGCCATCTAAAATATCAAATCCGTAATTGTTTGATGGTTTTAGTATTTATGACGAGTGATATAATTTGATTGTAAAAGAGGCTTTCGAATTTATGTCACGGGAATATATAATCTAACTTAAATGAATCGAGCTTGTGTGTTTGTTGATTAGAATTGGTAGTTTCTCTATTTATTAATGCTGTCAATAGGTTAAATCCTAAGAGCTTGTTTAGGATTGCTTAATTGGCAAGAGAAATAGTCACAGAGCGTGTTGTGGTTATCGAAACAGTAAGGAGAGACAGATTGTCAGAGCGTGTTAACAACCATAACCAGTGGTGTCCCACACTACAAGATGATCCAAATGAATATGTGAATGCAGTTGGCGGATTTCCTGGCCCACCTCAAAGGCGCTATGATCCTTATTCAAACACCTACAATCTAGGGTGGAAGGATCACCCAAATTTCAATTATGCCCTAAGGCCACCGGGATTTCACCAACAGCAATATCAGCCTAGGCTTGCAAATTCACAACAGCAACTGGTTTCAAAATTAGGTACATCACTTGAAGAAATTGTTAAATCGTTAGCTACTAATGCACAACAATTTCAACAGGAGACAAGAGCTAGTATTCAAAATCTGGAGAATCAAGTGAGCCAACTAGTATCTGCATTTAATCGATGGGAGTCTCAAGGTTCAGGAAATTTGCCTTCACAGACTATTATCAATCCGAAACAAAATGCAAGTGCCATTACATTGAGGAATGGCAAAGAGTTGCTAGAACCCAGTAAGAGAATTTCTGAGCAGGCCATTGAGGAGGCTATTGAGAAAGAAGAAGTGGAACCCAAACCTAAAGATAGGCCGCAGCAAAATTCCCAAGATGACCCGCCAGTAGTGGTAATACCTCCTCTTCCATTTCCCAGTTGATTTGCTAAATCAAAGAAAGAGGAGCAGGAGCAAGAGATTCTAGAAACTTTTCACAAGGTTGAGGTAAATATTCCTCTTTTAGATGCAATTAAGCAAATCCCTAGATATGCAAAGTTTCTTAAAGAATTATGCACTACTAAGAAAAAATTGAAGGGAAATGAAAAAGTGCATCTGGGGGAGAATATCTCAGTAGTGCTTCAGAGAAAGTTACCTCCAAATGTAAGGACTCAGGTATGTTTACTCTTCCTTGCAACATTGGAAATATTAGGATTGAGAAAGCAATGTTAGATTTGGGTGCTTTCATAAATGTTATGCCTCGTTCTATTTATAACATGCTAAATCTCGGGCCTTTAAAAGAGACAGGTATAATAATTCAACTTACTGATAGGTCAAATGCTTATCCTGATGAGGTTTTGGAAGACATATTGGTTCAAGTAGACAAATTGGTTTTTCTTGCAGACTTTTATGTGCTTGACATAGAGAAAGATAATTCTGCTAATTCACCCTCAATTTTATTAGGAAGACCATTTTTTAGAACTTCTAGGACCAAAATTGATGTCTATTCTAGAACACTGACTATGGAGTTTGATGGCGATATTATAAAATTCAATATTTATGACGCCATGAAATATCCTAATGAATCTCATTCAGTCTATGTTATAGATGTAATTAACTCTTTGATGCAGCATACTTTTGAACTAACAGATGATGATGCTTTGAAAGTTGCTCTTACTCATGGTTTTGATCGGGAGTATATTCAGGAGATGAGAGGGAAGTTTGACCTTTCTCTTGAATTGTAAGAAACTATTTTTGAATTAGATTCTCTTAAACCTGTAAGGTATGAAGTGCCTTGTGTTGAATTGTCACAGTCACATTCAACACTTTTACCATCTATTGTACAGGGCCTGAAGTTGGAATTGAAGCAATTACCCAGTCATCTAAAATACGCATTCCTCGGGGAAGGAGACACACTTCCAGTGATTATTTCTTGCAAGTTAACTGCTCCAGAAGAAGAAAAACTCATTCGGGTGCTAAAAGATCACAAGGAGGCAATAGGATGGACTTTAGGAGATATCAAAGGACTAAGTCCAGCACTTGCATGCATAGAATCTTATTGGAGGAAGACGCTAAACGTTCAAGAGAGGCCCAACGTAACCTAAACCCACCAATGATGGAGGTAGTAAAGAAAGAGATTTAAAACTTCTTGATGCAGGTATAATTTATCAATTTCGGATAGTAGGTGGGTAAGTCCTATACAAGTGGTCCCCAAAAAGACGGGGATAACTGTTGTTGAAAATTCAAATGGCGAGTTGATGCCCACCCGCGTTCAAAACGGATGGCGAGTTTGCACAGATTTCAGAAAATTGAATGCCTTAACTCGAAAGGACCATTTTCCACGACCCTTTATTGATCAAATGCTGGAAAGATTGGCAGGAAAATCTCACTATTGTTGCCTTGATGGTTTTTCAGGTTTTCTTCAAATTCCGGTAGCACCTGAGGACCAAGTGAAAACTATTTTCACTTGTCCATTTGGTACATTTGCATATCGAAGAATGCCCTTCAGTCTTTGCAATGCCCCCGCTACATTTCAGAGGTGTATGGTTAGTATATTTTCTGACTTTGTAGAAAACATTATAGAAGTGTTCATGGATGATTTTACGGTCTATGGTGATTCTTTTGATGCATGTCTCGCTAACCTCACTAAGATACTTGAACGGTGCATCGAGACAAATCTTGTTTTAAACTATGAGAAATGTCATTTTATGGTAAATCAAGGCATAATTTTGGGACATGTGGTGTCCTCTAAAGGAATTGAAGTAGATAAATCTAAGGTAGAAGTCATTAAGTGCTTACATTACCCTGCAAGTGTGGGGGAAGTTCATTTTTTTCTTGATCATGCAGATTTCTACCGACGCTTTATTAGGGATTTTTCGAAAATATCTCATCCTCTATGCCAACTACTTCAAAAGGATGTAGAGTTTAATTTTGATGAAGCCAGTAAAATTGTTTTTGATGCACTCAAGGAATCACTGACCTCAGCACCAGTTGTCCAGCCGCCAAATTGGAGTTTACCTTTCGAAATCATGTGTGATGCAAGTAATTATGCTGTTGGTGCTATACTTGGCCAAAATAATGGGAGAGCATCTCACGTCATTTATTATGCTTCAAGAACTCTAGACAGTGCTCAGTGCAATTATTCGACAACGGAAAAAGAACTTTTAGCTATAGTTTTTGCTTTAGAAAAATTCCGTTCATACTTACTTGGCACTAAAGTAATTGTCTATTCTGATCATGCAGCGCTTAAGTACTTGCTCACCAAGGGAGGCGAAGCCAAGACTCTTGCGGTGGATTCTTCTACTCCAAGAATTTGATTTAGAAATTCGGGACAAAAAAGTGCTGAGAATTTGGTTGCAGATCACCTCAGTCGATTGGTCATAAATGAGACACCTACACCTCTACGAGATAATTTTCCAGATGAACATCTCCTTGCCATTCCTAAGCTAACTCCATGGTACGCAGATATAGTGAATTATTTGGTCACTAAGACGTTGCCTAATGATTTATCTAGGGCTCAGAAGGATAAAATAAAAAATGATGCTAAATATTATGTATGGGATGAACCATACTTGTGAAATTTTGCTCTGACCAAGTTATTCGCAAGTGTGTTTCAGATGAGGAAATCCCTTCTATTCTCTCTTTTTGTCACGCATATGCTTGCAGTGGACATTTTGGTCCCAAGAGGACTACTATAAAGTTTTAGAATGTGGTTTGTTTTGGCCTACTTTGTTTTGTGATTTTTACACGTTTTGTAAGACTTGTGAGAGTTGTCAAAAGACAGGTAATTTAGGATATAGAGACCAAATGTCCCTTACTCCGATACTTGTTTGCGAAATATTCGACATATGGGGTATTGATTTTGTGGGTCCATTTCCCTCCTCTTTTGGCCATGTATATATTCTTCTTGCTGTAGATTACGTTTCCAAATGGGTCAAAGCTAAGCTACTCGGATTGATAATGCTAAGGTTGTGGTAGATTTTGTCAAATCTAATATTTTTGTCAGGTTTGGTACGCCAAGATCAATTATTAGTGATCGTGGGAAGCACTTTTGTAATCGCGTAGTGGAGGCATTGATGAAGAAATATGGTGTCACCCATCGTGTTTCTACTTCATATCATCTGCAAACCAGTAGGCAGGCTGAGATTTCCAATAAAGAAATCAAATCTATACTTGAAAAGACGGTGAATCCAAATAGGAAGAATTGGAGTCTGCGCCTCAATGATGCACTTTGGGCTTATCGAACAGCTTACAAGACTCCCATAGGTATGTCCCCTTATCGTCTGATATTTGTCAAATCCTGTCATCTTTCGGTTGAGATGGAACATAGGGCGTATTGGGCGGTGAAACAATGCAACATGCGGATGGATGATGCAAGAGAGCAAATGAAATTGCAGTTACAAGAATTAGAGGAAATCCGCAATGACGCCTATGAGAACTCGCGAATTTACAAGGAGAAGACAAAGGCTTTTCATGATCAATTGATCTCTAGGAAGAATTTTTGTGTTGGTCAAAAAGTTCTACTTTTTTATTCTAGACTCAAACTTTTTCCTGGAGAATTACGTTCACGTTGGATAGGGCCTTTTATTGTCACTAATGTTTTTCCTTATGGTGCAGTGGAAATTCGAAGTCCAAAAACCAACAAGGTTTTCAAGGTCAATGGTCATCGTCTTAAACCTTTTTATGAAGGATTTCAGGCATATACTATCGAGGAATTGGCTCTTGAAGAGCCTACTTATTCTGATTGAAGTATAATTTTGTCTAGCCAAAGACATTAAAGAAAGACGCTATTTGGAAGGCAATCCAAGAGTTTCAATTTTAGTCATTTTGTGTTTTTTATTTCATATTTTTGTGTTAAAGGTAAGTTTATTTTGGTTCCTATTGACAGAAACTTTTTATTGTAGGTAGACTCTTAGGCAAACGACTCTCGATTATAAGACATGCCCACGCTTTATGCTAAATGCAAACCATTGATTTTCAAGTTGCATGGGCAGAAGACCATCTGTTGAGCGTGCCCACGCTCTATGTCCGGAGTGAACTGTTGATTTTCAAGTTGGATGGGTAGAAGAGCTTTCGTTATAAAGCGTGACCATGCCTTGTAGCATCGTCTTGAGTTTGATTTAATTGATTAAAAAAAATAGAAAAAAAGAAAAAATGCATCATTCCCAATTCGGTTTGGGCCCATCTCTCTTATTAGCAAGGGCTTCTATCTTTCCTCTTCCATTTGTTTCAATCACCCTAACTTGTTTCTTCCCCTTTCCTTTTCTCACAGTCTTGACCAAACCTCCAAGTGCCATCTTCTACCTTTGGTCATTGCTGCTCCATCATCGGCGAACGCACCTTCGTGGGACTGCTCACCTGGAGTTCTACCGAGTTCCAACAAGAAATGGGTATTATCTAGGCTGCTACCCTCTTCATTCATCAATTTCTGGTAGTTCAATTTCGTCAATGATTCCTTGCTGTCGATTTCTATTTTCTCCCAATTAATTGCTTTAACAACTGCACTTGATTTCTTGGATTTATGGACATTGGGTAGATATTTGGTTCTTGGTCATTGGTTGATTGTGCTTATCAAAGTAGTAGTCGGTGGTCAATTGCACAATTGCCATTGTTATAGTCTTTCAATTTTACAACAATAGCTTCTGGGTCCCTTCATTGTTGGTTTTAGGAAGCTTGATTAATCTTCCATCCGTCCACATAGCTTGTCAATTGCATGATTGTCTCCTATTGTTTTTAAAGCCAATTGATAGTGGTTTGTTCGACTTGAGTTTGGCTTCTACTGGGGATCCCACTTGGCCTCTTTCTTTGCTTGGTTCACTATTACTCTTCAGTTATTAACTTTTGTGGGTGCATTTGAATTGTTGAACTATGGCAAAGAAAAAGACTATTTCAACGAAACCAAGTAAAACTTCTTCTGTGCCGCTTAATCCTGCTCCCAAACCTAAGAAACGAAGAGCCCCTATCCAACCGAAGAAGAGGTCATGTTTAGGGATTCACAAAAGTATACTACCACCTGGAGATAACGAATTGGGAGGTGCACTTGATGGGTTTAGTTCTGAGCAACTAGAACAGATTTAAATGTTGCGAGTCAGACCTTTTGCTGCCTGCAAATCTGTCCATCCTACGCTTGACCACCTACATATTGCTAGTGACGTGGATCGGTTATTTGCTGCAATTGGTTGGCAACGATATTTGACAATTGATTATCCTTCTTATAGTGAGTTGTCTTGGGAAGTTTATACTACATTCAGCTTTGACAAACCAAGTAACTTAATTTTGAGTACTCCCGACGTGGCAAAGTTTAGGTTGTTGGGTGTTGATATGAGTCTGTCCATCAATGAGTTTAATATACTTTTGGGTTTCATTGATTCGGAGGCTATCTCATCTCCAGAGTACATGAACAGTGCATGTGATTATGGACAGCCATTTCTAGGGATTATATTGACATTTGGCGAGAATGGTCTGTTGATAAGTTCACTTATAATCCTAGCAAGTCCAAAAGTTCTTACTTGAAAGATCCCGTTTTAAGATACATTCATAAGTTCTTAGCGTTCAAATTTTCTGGACGGAAGGATGCGTCTTGTATTCTCAGTAAAGCTGAATTCTATTTTCTGTGATGCATGGTTAATAATGTCAAAGTTAATTTTGGATATTGGTTAGTTTCTCAATTGCAGACCGTGCTTACCAAACCACACAAACCATTAATATTAGGGTCTATTATCACACATATAGCTCACCGGATGTGTGACTTATTTGGGGAAGACTTCGAAGTGCATATTGCTGGCCCAACGGATCCGTTGGATTTGGCTTGTTTGGAGCGAATGGAGTTATTCATCGTATTCAGGACCAGTACCAGTTTGCACCTCCGGGGAAGCTACGCTTCGGCCACCAGCTAGTATCACTCTGCCCCCTGTTGCTATCCCCGCTGCTACTTCGTCTGCAGACGACGCAGGTCCTTCTACATCCAAGTCATGTCCACCATCTAAATGGGATGCTCAGTTTTAGAGTTTGCATGTGCAGATACAGCAGCTAGATAGTCGAATTGCCAATATCGAGCTTCAAAGTTCGTGGATGGCAAAGAACTTGGCGGCTTACTTCGTTTCTGTGGGCTTCTCACAGCCCTTTGCCCCGCATTCTTGATCTTCATGTTGAGGGACGTTCCCTCTACCTTTCTTTTGCTCTTATTATCTTATATTGGGGACAATGTCATGTATAGGTGTGGGGGAAGGGTATTTCTTATGGTAGCAAAAATTTATGGCCATTTCTAAATTTTTAATTTTGAGACAACTAAAATGCAGTTTAGGTTGGATGAAAATGCAGTTGAAATGCAAATATGAGTAGGGCAATGTTACTAGCATGAGTATGTTATTTTCTTGCAATTGATTTGAATGATGGATGTGCTAGATTTGACATAATTTCAACTATTTTGTGAGCTTTTGGGCTTTATGAGCAATTTAGTATGTTTTGCTCTATCTTCTTTTATTGAGTGATATCACACATAATTTGACATTTTAGAACTTGCTTTGTTATGCATGTTGAGACCACTCTTGAATTTGATGCATTAAAATGACGAGGGCAATTAGGTTTAACCCTTTTGACTTTCTAAATGTCTTCCCTAATTATGTTTACCCATAGTTAACCATGTTTGAGTCTCAATCCTTTTCTTTGTTTAATAGCCAAATTTGTTACCTTAAACCTTTTTCGTTTGGACCTTCTCATTTGAACCTTGTGTCAAAGGAATACATTAATATTCTTGCATGAAAATTTCAAGTGTGTTCCAAAAGTATGTTTATGGTTGGCAAGTGTGATAGTTATGTTGGTTCAAAAGAAAAAAAAAGAAAGAAAAAAATACAAAAAAAAGTGAGAGAAAAAAAGGGAAAAAAATCTTGTTGTGAAGTGCACTTGTGTTGTTTTGTGGTAGTTGGGCTAATGCCTAAATTTCGTTTGCACTTGCCAAGTTTAGTGAAGTTATTGACACTCCTGGAAGCCAGCTATACATGTGAATGAGAAAAGGAGTTTGACTTCATGCAGAGTATTATTGGTATTTCTTTGATATATTTACACCTAAAATTTTTCCTTTAATCCAACCCTTAACCCAAGCCCTGTTACAATCCTTATAAAGACCCTTTGATTTTTGCATTGAATTCATTTTAAGTGGTGGAAATATGATATATTAGCAAGCTTATGGTAATGTCATTTCGTAGAGTTGATTTGAGTGCTAAATGTCCTTTAAACATTTGAGTGCAGAGTGTATACACTATTATCCATGTGAGAGCTGTTGAATTTTGTGCATCCTGATTTTGATAAAATTGTTGAGAAAACATGATACTTGTGTTAGTATGCATTGTGCTATGCGTGTTTGTCATCTCGATTGTGATTCTTGGGTAGTGAATGCTTGAGGACAAGCATTGTTTAGGTGTAGAGGAATTTGTTAAGTGGCTAATTGTGCATATAATTGGTGAATATTTTTCCCTTTATTTTGTTAAAATATGGCGTTAATTGATATATTTCACTCATATTTGAATTTGGTGTTGTTTTAGGAATTGTTGGTGAGCATGAGGTAAAAGGCGCATTAAAAGTCGACTTTCCAGAAGACTTCTTGTTAAGCGTGCCCACGCTTTGTCAAATGCGAAGTGGTGCTTCTAAAGATCTATGTCCAGTAGACTCCAGTCTGTTAAGCGTGCCCACGCCTTATTTGACAAGGCAGTCAAGAGTTCATAGGACATGAGATCAATCTGTCAATTGATCAAGAAGCCGGTTGCATCCCATGGTTTTACACATTTGTCACGAGATTGGAGATCTTGAGGGGCTATGACTCAATGTAATTTATTTTGGAAACCAATTGATAGGTCTTGGTTGGTTAGTTTAGTTTAAATAGGAGTCCTAGTAGGAAAAAGGGATCCCATCCTTATTAATAGGGGAGAAAACGGACATGGGCTCTATCTCTGATTCTTTTTCCTTTTTCCCTCTTCGAAAACAAAAAAATAAAAACCATTACTTAGTCTAGATCGTGAATCCACCATGAGGAGCGGCTAATTTCTTTTCTAGTTGAAGGTTAATTGAAGCTTTGGTTCGACTATACTGTGAGATCTAATTTGATTTGTTTGCTTCATTTATTTATGAGTATTTATATATTCTCTGTTCATTCATGATTATGATTATTTTCTACAGTTAGATACCTAATCAATATTTAATTGTTGAAATAGTCTATTGCCATCTAAAATATCAAATCCGTAATTGTTTGATGGTTTTAGTTTTTGTGGTGAGTGATATAATTTGATTGTAAAAGAGACTTTCGAATTTATGTCACGGGAATATATAATCTAACTTAAATGAACCGAACTTGTGTGTTTGTTGGTTAGAATTGGTAGCTTCTCTATTTATTAATGCTGTCAATAGGTTATGTCGCGCCCCATTTTTTGAAAAAATGATAAAATTATGCGTTTTGATAAAAATGAATTTTTTATTAATGTTGATTGAAAATGAGTTCTTTATTTTTAGAAAATAAATAAAGAAAATGGGTCTAAATGGGACTTAAAAGTGCAACGATTTTGATCCAAAAATAATAGTTTAAAAAATATTTTTAATAAAAAATAGGAGTTGCCACTTGGTATTGAGTTAAGGTGTACCAAGTCACCTAAAATGAATTTTTAAAGAAAAAGTAGAGAAAGAACCCTTTTTAAACGACTCCAAATCTACGAAAATCAAGAGAAAATGGGTCGGGAGTCACATTTAAAGAAAGGGAAGG